TTTGGGGACGCCTGCATGGCTCAGTTGGTTGAGTGTCCAACTTTTGATCTCAGCTCAGGTCTTGATCTCAGGGTCATGAGTTCAAGCCCAGTGTTGGGCCCCACAATGGGTATGTGGCCTACTTTAAAAAAAAGTCAACATTTCTCCTTCAGAACATGCCAAAGACAATGACATCTTCAGAATATAAGTCAGCATGTATGCCCCAGAAATCTTTCTCGGTTTTACTGCATTTAAAGGCCATCCATCTGAAATCAGGATGTTAGACTTGAAATCTAAGGCAGGATAGCATAGTGAACTAATGATATTCACTGAACATAGTTTTGGACTCTAATGGTGTTAGTTCAAATTCTGTCTCTGACAGTAACTAGTACAATCAAAGTTCTTCATGTCCCATTGTCCTCCATTTCTTAATATGGAGCTATGGGATTGTAAGGATTAAATATGATAATATATGACACATGGTCAATTCTCAATCATTGGCTTGGTATAAACAAAGGTATACACAATAAACTCTCCTATTGAAAAAGAGAGACAATGGGAGGTTTATTGGCATCACTGATCCTCAGCAATTCTGAAATCCCACAAGGCACATGTTGCTAGTTCTTTCATTAAGACTAAAAGCCAGGTCGTGGTTCTTTGCTCTACACTCCGGGCCCTTAGTTCTGCCCTTCCAGTCCTTCTTCCTTCATCAGGCAATGTAACCTGTATTTACAGCTGAGTAATTTTATCAGTTTGCTTCCTGTATGTAAAATGGGGATCCAACTTCCTCTTTTTATTCTGCACTGTTTCTGTCCCTTTCCAATCAAGCTAGCAGTGTTTTTGTCTGTATAATTCTCTTAAATTTTCTTTGGTCCCTTATGAATCATATTGGGGTTCACTTTGTTACATAAAAGCCACACTCAGAGGCATCTTCAAGATATTTTCTACCTTCGGGCTAAGCTGAGGCTATGAGAACAAAGCCCCATTGTTTAACTGAATAGTTCTCTGAGTTACAACTTTACATCTTTCTGAGGTTTCAACAAAGGATTTAATTATCACATTTATGATTTGTTTTTAAATCATAATTTCCTGGCTTAAAAAAATAAGCATTTATTATCTCTCATAGTTTCTGAGAATCAAATATTCATGGGCAACTCACCTAGGTGATTGGGTTATGAGGTTGTAGTCAAATGGGGGCCAGAGCTAGTTACCTAAAGGCATGACTAGGGTTGGAAAATCTACTTTTGAGGTGGATCACTCACTTGGCTGGCAAATTGTTTGTCGTTGTTGGCAGTGAGCCTCAGTTCATTCTCATGTGTCCCTTTCCACAAGACTATTTGAGTGTCCTTATGATATGACAGATGACTTTACCCAGGTAAATGATCCAAAAGAGGACAAAGTAGAAACTGAAATATTTTTTATGACCTAGTTTTGAGAATCATACAAAACCACTTCTACAGTATTCTATTTTTCACATTGGCCATCCATGACTCAAAGTGGGTGAGTACCACATCAAGACACAAACACTAAGAGAAATGGTACATAGGGGGCCATCTTGGAAGCTAGCTCCCATTCTGCCTTCTAGTGATAGAAAATAGATATTAAACAATAAATATCATAAGTAAAGTATACAGTATTATCAAAGATGTTAAGTGCTATAAATGAGAAGAAAGAAAAAGAAGACCAGGGTTAAGGTTTGGGGAGAGCAGTTTGCAGTAATAAGTTATCAGTGTAGGTCTCATTGAATAGATGATAGTTTTGTAAAGACTTGAAGAAAGTAATTTTATAATACCAATATTCTAGGGCGCCTGGGTGGCTCAGTTGTTAAGCAACTGCCTTTGGCTCAGGTCATGGTCCCGGGGTCCTGGGATCGAGTCCCATATCGGGCTCTCTCCTCTGCGGGAGGCCTGCTTCTCCCTCTCCCACTCCCCCTTGCTTGTGTTCCCTCTCTCACTGTGTCTCTCCCTGTCAAATAAATAAATAAAATCTTTAAAAAAAAATACCAATATTCTAATGATATACTGACATATTTTATTTATTTCAAAGACTATAATATTTTTCAATCAGAATCACTTTAATGTATTATGAAAACATATTTCTTGTTATGTCTAAGGCTACATACAAAGGTTATAAAAGTTTCTTTCCAAGGATTTGGTGTTCACAGGCCTTGTATAAGAGGATTACAAGTTAGTAGTAAAAAGATTTACAGTAATTCTTAGTGATCTGTTATTTATTTGTGAATTCTTAACTGTTATTAAAAGTCATTGAGCTATTCTTCTTACTTAAAAATCAGCCTCTAATATTTGATGCATACAAAAGAATGTATGTAACTAATGAAGTATAATAATAAAATGAACACACATGAACCACCATCCAAATTAAAAGCTAGAATATTGTCTCTTCATTGGAAGTTTTTTATTCTTTCCTAATCCTATTCTCCATTTTACCATCCCCAAGGTAATTGTTACCATTAATTCGAGTTGATTATTTTATTTTTTTAAAACACTTTTACCATATATGTGAATAGCGCTAAAACATTATATATTCAATTTGCTTATTTTTGAGCTTATAAAAATTATGTGTTCCATATAGCTCTCTGAATTTTTTTAAGTAGCATTTTCTGTCTAAGCTTTACTTGTATTAGTGTATATACTGTCTTTCATTCAAATTTAACTTATGTACCATATTCCATTGTATGGATAGAGCACAATTTATTTATACTTTCTCTGGTCAATAAATACATAGTTCCAGTCATCCTTGCAATTAAAAATAATGATCCTGGGAAAATTCTTAGACAGCCTTTTCTAAGGTAGAAGTGATCGTTTCTCGGTCTCTTGGCTAAGATCATGTGACTAAGGTAGAAGTGAAGTAGGCCAAAACACCATTTACAGTAATAACAATAACAATAATAAAAATAGAAACCTAGGAATAAATTTAACAAAAATTTTATAACTTCCTTTTTTTTTTAAAGATTTTATTTATCTATTTGACAGAGAGAGACACAGTGAGAGAGGGAACACAAGCAGGGGGAGTGGGAGAGGGAGAGGCAGGCTTCCCATGGAACAGGGAGCCTGATGCAGGGCTTGATCCCAGGACCCTGGAATCATGACCTGAGCCAAAGGCAGACGCTTCACGACTGACCCACCCAGGTGTCCCCCAAATTTTATACCTTTCTGTAGACAAATCTAAACCTTTATTGAGACAAATAGGAGTCAAATAGAGATGTATATCATATTCATCAATTGACACAAAATTTCAATTCTAATTAATCTATAGATTAATTGCAATTTCAATAAAATCTTATATAGTTTCAAAGGAATTTCACCAACTGATTATAAAATTAATTTGAATTTACAAAAACCTAAGAACAACCAAAATACTCTTAACAAAGAAGACAAATAGGTTTTGGGAGCTTGTCCTATCCAGATATAGTAAAGTCAAAAACACCTGATTTTCATTATGTGTAATGATTACTTTTTTCCTTAGGCAGATATATCCTGGGAAAAACAATCAATATCAAATGCATGTAGACATCTTAGCCTTACCGTTTATCAAAATTGCAACAAAAAACTATTAAAATACACTGTTAGCATGGAAATAAATTTTCTCTTAATGGGACTCAATAACTACAAAGTAAAATTATTAAATTAATTATATGTATAAGTTTTCATGATTTTTATCAGGGATATTTGTTTAACTTACAATAATAATTGATTGATGGTTTTCTGATAATGTCCCCATAAACTCTTCAGAATCTTTTATATGAGGTGACAGTCCGTTTCAAACTGTGTGGACTGAGAGATCTAAATGCCTTTGATCACACTCCAAAAGAATGTGGGAATAAGAACAAAGTCTAAACGTTCTATAGTATGATGCCAGGCCCAACAGGAGCTCTATCACTTCACCTGACTAAATGCTTTGATCTTTTCCCACTATAATAGATCAGAGTTTGTACTGAAAGATTTCAATTTCTCCTCTGGCCAGGCAAAATTTCAGTATGGCTGCTTAATAAAATCAATGATACACACCAGTTTGTAATAAAATTTTCAATCAGAATACAGCTTTTGAATATGTATAATAAATATGCATGAATATGACACGTTCCATTGGCTTATAAGAAGAACACAAAACCAACGCTCCACCTTCATGCATCATCCATTTTAAATTTTAAAATTTCTGGTAGTAATATTTGCTTTTTTTCCTCAAAAATGTTGCACTTTTTGTTTGATATAATGACTTTCTCTAAAAAGCCTTAATTGACCCCATAAGGAACTCACCACCATCTCTTTGTATGATGCTAGTATCCAGTATACAAAAATAGCATAGCTTTTGTAGTCTCTTATTCCACCAAACTGTTCACATGACTGTTTTTCCATGCAGACTGGAATCTTTTGAGAACACAGATGGCATCTATTCATCTGTGTACCACACCTACGGGAAAGTAAACGGTATTCCTCTTGAAGAATCTTTGAGCTGTTATTTCCACTGCCACATCAACCATAATATGGTTTCATAATCAATTCTTTCACAGCTTCCTTTAGTTTTACTTAAAGAACTTTTGAGTGTTGTTTTTCAGAAACATTATGTGACCTTTTCACACCAATTTATGATGTCATTGATCCATGCTACATTTACTTAATGTTTCCCATGTGTCAAGCACAGTGCTAGGTACTAAGTATATAAATATGAAGACACAGCCTGCCCTTAAAGAATTCAAAGACCAGTCAGAATACAAAAACTAATAATTACAATGCAATGTAAGTGCTATAACACAGACAGGAACAGAGTGATCTAAAAACATACATTTAGTGACTGGTTCTGGCTACTTGAGAAAAGATTCAAAGAGGTTAACCAATTGGCTGATTTTGTCAGATAAAGAAGAAGGAAGCAAATTTTAGGAAGAATGTGTGCAAAGACATGCAGTCAAGAAAGGATCAGGCAGATCTAGTGAATAAGGAGCTGCTCTGTGTTTAGAGCACAGAGTATCTGATGTGGAGAGGAGAAAGGCTGGGAAGTTAGCCAGAAGACTAGAACAGATCTCAGAAGCAATGTTATCCTTACACAGGGGCCATGATAATCTTCTCTGTATTGTTCCAATTTTAGTATATGTGCTGCTGAAATGAGCACTTAGAGGCAATGTTAAGAAATGTATACTTTATCTGTGGCAACTTAAACATAGAAGAAATTGTTAAACAAGGCAGAGACATAATCAGATTTAGCTTTAGGAATGGTCATGCTGGTGGCAGGATGAAGACAGGTTTGGAGGTGAGGAAAGTTTGTGGTATAAGGACCAATTAGGAGGCTTTTAAATCTCCTAGGGAAAAGATGAGGTGAACTTTCAAATGGTGGAGGCATTGTGGGATGTAAAGATTAATGTGTTTGATATTAATGAAATAAACTCAACTGAGCAAAGTAGAAAGAAGAATCAATAGGATGGAGGAGATAAGGGTGATTCTTCGTTTCTTCTATGAGACACTGACATGAGAAGAAATCTCCCTGGGTTTAAATAATGTTTGGGGTGCCTGGAAAACAGACAGGCAGACATGTCTAGTAGATAAATGTATCTGGAATTCAAGAGTAAAGTGGAGACTCACTGATTAGAAGTTGTCCACTTGTATCTGGTAATGAAAACCATGAAAGTAGATCAGATCATCCAAAGTTTATATGGAAAGTAAAAATGAAAGAGAAAAGAGTAGAACTTGAGTCATCCACCAACATATAAATAGTGGTCAGAAGATGGGGGGTGAGGAGCCTGTGAAGAATCCCAGATAGACTAATCAAAATGATAACTAGAAGCCATGAGAGAATAGGCAATTACTGTCAAAAACTGCAAATCCCTCAGGTGAGACAAAACCTTGGTTAAATTTGTCAAATAAGAAGAAACTGCCATGGAGGTTGGAAAAGCCATTCAGGGCAGGGCAGGAGTCAGAGAATAGATTACCAAGGTTTGAGGGGCAGGCACAGAAGATGTAAACTATTTTTTAATAAGAATGATGCTGAAAGGAAGGAGACATATAAGTGCAATAATTTGAGCAAAAGGTTAATGGAAGGCTTCTTTTTTTGCAACCTGAAAAGAAAGAGCTAAAAGAACAGGCAAATTGTTGGTAGAGAAAATAGAAAAGATAATGAGATAAAATTTCTGTATAAATGATGGAAACTGAGATACTGGTATACTAGTTTGCTGCTGATGCTGTAGTTTGGTAGCTTACAGTTCCGGAGGTCAGAAATCCAAAATGGGTTTTATGGAGCTAAAAAATCAGGATGTCAGTAGGTCTGTCCTCCTTTCTGGAGGCTACGGGGGACAATCCATTTACTTGCCTTTTCAAGCTTCTAGAGGCTACCTGCATTCCTTGGTTTGTGGCCTCATCCTTCATCTGTAAAGCCATGGCATCTTCAAATTTCTCTCTCAATCTCCCTCTCTCTCTCTCTTTCATATCTCAGCTTCCACTCTCATATATCTTCATATCTCCTCTCACTCTGACCTTGATTTTCCTTTTACAAGGATCTTGTGAGGAAATTGGGCCAACTCAGATAATCCAGGATAATCTCCTTATCTCAAGATCCTATACTTAATCACATCTGCAAAGTCTCTTTTGCCATGTAAAGGAAAATATTTACAAAGGCCAGAGATTAAGATGTTGACATTTTGAGGGGACCATTATTCTGTTTACCACACTGAGTAAGGGTAGAATGATTAAACTAGGAAAGGACAATAACTCTTCTTCTTTTAACAGGAGAGAAGGAGACCAGAGTGTATGATGTCATATGCAAGTATAGAAGCAAAGGTGGGAACTGGTCCTGTCTGGTGGCCATATTTTCTTCTTGGCAGCATTGGGAAGGTGAAGTATGCCATTGACAAGAGGAAGAAGTTTTTTGAAGACCCAGTAAAGTTGGTTGCAGAGAACATAACAAGAAAAGGTGAAGAGACCATGAAGAAGCATGTGGGAGCTCCAATGGAGCTAGAAAGCATAAGGCCTATGTGGAGCTTATTGACTTAGCATGGAGATTTGTCCAGCAACACTTTGAAGTCTGGGAACAGAATCAAAGAAAATGAATAGTTGGATTCATCACTTGATGGATGTCTGAAGGGTGGATACATCTGGGAAAATAAGGAGGAATGTAAGCAAGGATCCTGGTGAATATACATGATCATTGAAGCCACTGATCCTAGCATTAGGCTTGGTCAGGTTCACTCTTCCCTGATTTTGAAATTTTGTAAAAATTTATTTAATGTACAAGATGTGTGTGTGTGTGTGTGTGTGTGTGTGTATGAGAGACTGAGAGAGAGAGACAGAGAGAGAGAGAGAGTTTCCTGAGCCTTGGAAATGCAAAATTCTTGGCTATAGCACTGAGAGATCAATATCCTTATGTGACAAAATCATGTCAGTAACCAAAGTAACTTGGTGGAAGTTAAACATAAAAGTAGATTAGGATGATTAAGAAATCCATCCTCATTCTTCCAGTACATCATATTAATTTAATTTTTTCTGAAATCTGTTTTTGAAAGGCTGATTAATTTTACTGGAAGTTTATTTAACAAAGTTTAAAGTGAATCAGCAAATAAAGGGAGTTTTCCCACTGGTAGAGATAAAAAATATAATTTACTACATAATTATTTGGTAATTACTTTGTCATCAGATATCTTTTATGAGAAATTTAACTCTATCTCCCATGTAATCTGTTCCATTTAGTTTAACTCTGGGTCTCATTATTCTCATTTTATCAGTTACAATTCATTAAAATATTATGCCAATTTCATTAGCAGATCAAAAACTGTCAGTCAACATTCTAGAAAGCCACAATCATTTCATTATTGAACATTTTACTTCTCAATTTCCCTAACTAGGCGTATACTGGCAAGCTTTTTATCAAATATGAAATGTTCTCATAATAATTTGTTTTTTTTTCTTAAAGTATTACATTATGTTTTGTTTATTTAAATACCCTACTACTTTCCTATTGTTCTTTTTTGGCCTCATTCACACAGACAACCAAGAGGATCTAATGAATTTTTAATATTTTAAACCACTTAGAAAATCAGGTACATGTTAAAGTCACATAAAGAACTTTGCAAAAATACAGATAGGGATGAGATTAATAAATGTTTTGGAAGAAAAGGAATGTCATACTCAGTGCCCTGGATTAAGATGACTTTTATAGCATTTTGCAGTAAGGATAGATCAGAGGCAGGGGTTCTGGAAAGGAGCACATTTCCACTCATAATCCTGAGCTAAGATTATGGCCATAAACATGGCAAGATTATTAGAAATGGAAGAGAAATATGTAAAATAGGCTTAAAAGAAGCTACCCTAACCATCTCACAGAGTTGTTCTGGAAACAATGTGAAATTTCAGAGGGAAAATTTAGAAAAGTCAGAATTCTTTATATGTGTAAGTCTTCACATTATTCATTATGTAAGAGCCCATTTCTCTCTGAAGGCTCTGTGTTTCCCTTGAAAGATTTTGTGGGAGGAGTTCATGCCTGGCACCACAAACTTCTGCAGTCAGTACTCACAGCCTGCTTTTGCAATGGGCTATGAAAGTAGACTTTTATTAGTTGCTTCCTTAAAAAACATTATCTACATATCATCTTTTAAAAATGAAAGCTGTTTGAGAAAGATATTTGTATTGTTTAAATATTTACATATATAACATCCAATATTATGCTCTGAGCCATTGTCTCTTTTGGAATAAAATTACATGCCAGTACTCATAAATTTTGATAAATGAGAAAAGTGGTGTTTCTCGTTTTTTCTGCCATTGTATCCAAGTGAATTAATAATAAATTAAAGTTAATAAAATTTAAAAATGCAGTGCAATAATAAAATTACTCAATATTTAAATGTGACATAGATTTTTACTATTAAAAAATAAAGAAATGAAAATATACCAAAATTAGTTGTATCTATTGTTCATTTTAGTTTTTCATCAAGTTTTCATGCCATGGATTATCCATCTTGTCCCTTGTTAGTGCTTACATCTGAGAGTAATCTATGGACTATGACTTTAGGAGTTTGAAACTGAATGAGGGATAGTTAAAAAACAAGGTATTACATTTTTTGAACCATTAGTCAACAAATAATTAGTCATATTGGCAAACAACTGCATTTGCAAGGTATGACTGCTGAAATAAGCATGTTTCAGAAAATGTCAGCTGTAGGGCAATCATTGTTACTATAGTAAACAAGAAAAACAAACCTTATCACAATGAAATGCTTATTGAATGAAACTTTTATTCAGCAAGAAGGTGCCACTGCAACTTTAATGTACAAAATAAACTATTTCCTCACCTGTGCGTACATTAATCTTTTCAAATTTTGACAAATTATCATAATAAAATAGTATGGCTCATTTTAAGTTAACTTAATTTATATTAAAAAAGATAAACTAGATAAATTCAGAAAGTGATTTTCACATCTCAAATTTCTTATTTTACTAAGGGATCACTATTGGTTTCCTTTGATTAGCTTCTCTATTGGTGCATTTAAAATATAACAAACAAAAAATAAATAAAACAATAAACAAAATTTTGACTAATATTTTCAGAAGCATCTATTCTAAAATGAGTTTATTTGTATTCTATTTATTGTATGTGTCCATTTTAAAATGTGGAACTGAAGCATGTTTCACTAAGACATTTTTTGGTGATTTTTCCCAGTCTATTTTCATTAAGATTCTGTTACATTGCCAAGATGCCTCTTACTTCAACATATTTCAAAATGGATACCATAAAAAATATTAATAGTCCTGTTGGATTATTACATCTGCTTACACTTTTGAGATTATCTCATCACTTTAAAGTTGAGGTAAACCTGTGTAATATAAACCTCACACTTAAAAATTGGTGATTCAATAATAAATGTCCTCATTCTCCTGATTTTCATTTTGCTGAGTTTACTACCTAATTCACAAATATCATTACATTAAATATTTAACATAACTACTTCTATAAAATATTTCAGCCTAAAGTAAAGAAACTAATTTACAATTCCAACTTCATCTTACACTTGATATTTGTGAATCTGAATTATTTTAAAAACTTTTTCTTAAATCCGTTTGGTTTCATTGTAGATACCAAGGGAACAGAAGTTAAATTCCTTATATTTCTACTTTCTTCATTCTCTCTCT